GTGGACCATCCACTCTACACACACACACACACACACACACACACACACACAGCGAACCTGATTCTTAGCTGTGCCATCCCAGCTGCTTCTTGGAACCCAGCACTCAACTATAGTGAGTGACAAGCACATTCCAGTAAGTGAGGGAGTTTTGACCTTCACTTCTCCCTTTGCTGGGATTTTACAAGGCCTCATCCAAACACCAAATTTCAGTTCCTAGTAACCCAATGTCTTTCTTTAAAATGAAGTGCTATTTGAGTTTTCCTCTATCTGCGTTGTAGACCTTGTCTATAAGTATTTTAGTTGCATTTTTAGGCCTTTATGGTTGGTTTGTAAAACTAACTGTGCTTGTTAGCCTAGGAACCTGGAATAACAGAACTTTTTATGTAACAATCACAAGTGAATCATTGTACAGCATTATCCCGAAAAACATTATTCAGATTCTTCTGTGCCTTTTTAAAACTCATTTTGTCTGCCTCATCTGAACTGATTAATGGACCCATGTATTTGACAAATGATACATTTCACTTAGCTGATCTTGGTTTTCTTATTAGTGCTCAAAACTGTCATTAACTGTGCTAATGAGGGTCTCTTTAAATTGGTTACTTTATCTTGACATGTTGATCTCAAACATCCCTGCTCTAGGGCAACAACCCTGGTTCTTACCAACATATTTATTTATTCATTCATTCATTCAATTTTCAGTCCAAGGACTTGAGGTATCAGCCCCTCTCCCGGTCTCTTTTAATGGAGAAGGGCTGTAAAGTACAAAATCTTGAATCTTCAAGGAGTCTGAGTTTTGGTGCTATTGCTTTGGCCACACCCATGGACAAAGCTGGACAGAGGTTTCCTTTCAAGCCCTTAAGATGCCATGCTGTAAATAAGACTGCCACATAAAGTTTTTATACACCTGATTTTTCTGCAACACGATTGCACTTAGAGGTGTTCATCTGGGCTGCCGCAGCACCCCTTCTCTTTCCCTGCACTTAGGGGTTGATACCACTGTTTACCAGCCATATTTTGGACACACTGCTCTTCAGCTTGCCATGCTGCTTGAGGTATCTCTTTGCCAATAATATCCTTTGTGTCAGATCCCAATGTCTTCATGGTTTACCTCCTTTGATGAAGCAAATTGTCCAATAGTTTTCTAAACAAAATTCATACATCTCAAGTTCCTACATGCCCAAAAGACTTTACCATTCTATATAACTGACAGTTTTGCAGGGTCTGGAATGCACTGCACATTATTTGACCTCCAAATCATTGCTTTATTACTTTCCAGCCTTCACCTCTGCTGTTGGCTGGCCTGATGACATCCTGACCCCAGTTCCATCCCTCCTTCTCCATGTCCTCATTCTTAAAAAGCTCATAAAGTCTTATCCTTATCCCTAATGTTCTGAAATGTCAGTGTACTTAATGGGCCCCATTTATTTATTTTGTTGCGCACTTGGGGGACCCTTCCAATCTACCAATTCAATCTAGCAATCCTTCCTCTCTGTGAAAAAAAATTTAAGGCACGAGTTAGTTCCCTCCAGACTGACTCTGTTTCTTTTTCTGTATTCCCTATTAGTCACTAGAACTCGTGGCCTGATCTAATCAGATGCTGCCTAAGTGCCTTCATGTCATGGCACATACAGAGAAAATGGTATTTGCAGGGCGCTGAGAGATGGGCGAGGCTGCCTGCCGCAGAGGTGGAAAGCTCTGCTCTTCCCTCTCGTGCATCTTCTGTCACAGTGACATTTTTGTTCCATTTCCGGAAAGATGGTCATGACTTTATCTTCTAAGCTTCCCACTAAATATTTTTCTAATTTCAACCATTATATTTTTAATTTGCAAGAACTTCTCCTTATTTTCTGCGTTCCTTCTTTACAGCCCTCCTTTCCAAAACCTTGGAGAACATCATTACAGTTTTACTGAGCAGTTTTCTGCTCCCTACACCCACCTTCTCTTTCCCTAGGGCTTTGTTGTTGTTGTTGTTATTGTGGTTGGTGTTTGCTTTGTTTTATCTATAAAGTCTGTTTCATACACAGGCTTCCCACAAATGCGGGACAATCCTTGGGGAGCAGTCTCATTTAAGAGGAAAACAAGAAACAATGTTGCAAATTCTGTTCACATGGAGAGGAAGTCAGCTGGAGGCTTCAATGCAGTGTGATCACGGGATCACTTGCATTTTTTGTTGTTGTCCAGCAAATGGAGGAACCCTCTGATCTGGCTGCTGGTGGTGTTCTGGAAGCAAGCCGGGTAGGGCTGGGGAATTTCCATTGGATCAGTAATCTCCCCAGTTCAGCCCAGTGCTGGTGGGTCCCTGAGTTTGGGATCCCATATGGCTGAGATCGGATCTCCTGGTGGGTGGCTGCTTAGTTGCCAGGGTCAGGGATACCAAATGGTCTAATGGATCTGTCAACACGCTTTCTAACAAGGCCTCATTTTGCAGACCACACTTCACCCCTGCCTTTCCAGATACTGGAATCTCCAACCTTGAGCACTGTCATCTCCAAAGACACTGAACTCCTCCTCCATCACTTTCCTCCCAAATTCTGACATCACTTGGCCAATGTTTATCCCCTCTCTCCTTTTACTCATCCTTTGTGTTTAATGCTTTCAAGGGCTCATTGGTACCATTTTTAGCAGGGTTTTATGAGAGAAAGAAACTAAACACATATGATCACAAATTTACCAACCACTTTTGTGAGCAGGGTAAACCAGTATTTTAATGTTTAAAAGCCGTTTCTGTGGCTATTACCTAATTCCTCTTTCGCCTGTGAAATAAATGCCCAAGCACTGAACACTATTTATTAAAATCTGTCTTCTCCTAAAATGTGATCTTGAAAATAATTCACTAATTATAGGCCACTAATACATAATCATAAAACAGCTTTCATTATTAGTTTGTAATAATATACAAACTGTTAATAATCATAGAAAGATAAAAGTGATCTTAATCCTAGAAAATAGAAATAAACTCAAATTTAAATAGTTTACCACTCACTACGATATTCCAACTATCAAAGAAAATTATAAACAATCTAGTGAGATTTTTATAGTGTGGGATTTCTGTCCTTTTTCTTTTTTTAAGGAAGTGCAGGATTTCTCTTAACCATTCAGTGAATATGCCAGTAATAAGGACGCATGTCTCACAGGAGATCACAGTGCAAACTCAACACCTACCATTGGCTTTCCAAGTCCCTACAATTTTGGCTTCAAGTAAGACAGCCCAAAGTGTCCTTCATACACAACACATACATGCACACATACACGTGCAAAATGCATTATATATTCCAAAGTTATTTATGGTTTTAATAACAGTGTACCTTTTAAAAATAAAAACATTTAATCACAAATATGAAACTGGGTATTAAGGTTTTATATTTCACATAAGAGTATGTATATAAAACAAGATGAACAAATATCCTAGCACTATTGTTTTCCTCATAGCACCACCAGTATCTTTGAGCAATTAATGTTCACAATTGATTTGATTCAACTGATTGTTAACTTATTTTAAGGTGTCACGATCTGTGCTTCCTGCCTTCTTGGATTAAAGATGCCTTAATTTCCTACAAAATCCAACCACTTAAAGATTGGCTTAATGGAGGGGCACCTGGGTGGCTTAGTTGGTTAAGCGTCCGACTTTCACTTGGGTCATGATCTCGCAGTTCGTGGGTTCGAGCCCCGCCTCGGGCTCTGTGCTGACTGCCAGCCCAGAGTCTGGAGCCTGTTTCAGTCTGTGACTCCCTCTCTCTCTGACCCTCCCCTGCTCACGCTGTCTCTCTCTCTCCTAGAAATAAATAAAACATTAAAAAAAAATCTTTAAAGATTGGCTTAATGGAAATGTGACCTTCCGCTTCACCCCTACCTTTGTTTTCTGGCGTACTTGCATGCACACTGTGTGTGAGCATGTGTGTAATTTACTTCTCTGAAAAACAATCTCTAATGTGTAAACGGGATGGTTCCTTCTATTTTTTACTTTTTGTAATGTTTATTTATTTTTGAGAGAGACAGACCCTGATGTGGGGCTTGAACTCACCAACTGTGAGATCATGACCTGAGCCAAAGTCGGAAGCTTAACCAACTGAGCCACCCACACGCCCTGGGATGATTCCTTCTATTTATAGGTTTACTGAGAAAATTAAATAAAGTAATGTCTGGCATACAGTGGGCATTCAACAACTGGGTAAAATTATACACTACTTCCTTTCTTCTGTCTAGGCCTAATCTCAAATTAGCAAGCTTGGAAACATAAGGTGTGTGGTCCCAACCCTCCCCCCATCTTACAACACACACCTGGTGTGATAGAAGGTGTTCTTAGTATAAACAGAAAAGAATGGTGACTCCATTCATTCTAATTTCACTCTACTCTTACAGGTGGAGCTAACTATAATACGGTAAAATGTAATAAAGTGCCTTGGATTGGAAGTGGCCTATAATTTTAAATATTTAGTGTATGTGGCCAAATATGACAAAAATTGTACCCTTTTACTGTGATGGCATAAAGCGAAGGATACATTCACTCAAAAGTAATCATGAAATACCGGGGGACACACCCTGTAATACTGATAAGAGTTTCATTCACGTCAACCAGAGTGCATATTTCTTAGCTCCAGCAATATAATGTTGCCTGCCCTGAATCCAAGGTTACTTTCGTCATCGCATCTCACCATGTCAGTCCTAAACCACACGTAGGAGGAAGCAGGCAGTCTCGGGTCATATTTCTGTCCCCAGGTACGGCCCAGGCAGCAAAAGTACCAACACTGAACCAGTTCCACCCTAGCATGTATATATTCCTGGCAGCATATGAATATTAATTTTCTATACTTCTCTTTTCTAAACTTGAGCTTTATGCGGGGAAGAGAGGCAAGAAAGTACTCTATGTGCCAATTTCATCTAGCACACAAACTCCAGGTATGATTAAAAATTTCCCCACGTCCTCTTAGCCCTGAAGACACCATATCTTGTAATATCTTGCCTGCAGTAAGTTTAATAAAAAACAGAAGTAACAAGACCTGGAATGATGCTCACGGCTGCGAATTTGCGAAGCACCTGACCGGAGGCCACACCGGGTGGGCAGGAAGACCAATGCGCAGGCTGAGTGAACAGATGCTGCGGAGGCCGGACCTGGCCGCCTTTGGCACCGACCCCTGGCCTTCTCTCAGGCCTCCAGCCTCCCACCCTGGATTCCCAACGCCCAGCGCCTGGAGGACAGGCCGCAGGACAGGCGGGGTCACCTGTGGCCGCGGGGACCCGCGCAGCAGCTCTGGACGCTCGGCACAGCCCCCACGCCGGCTCCCGCTGCCTCCACTGCGGGTGGGGGGCTGCGCGTCCGGGTGGCCAGGCACGACTCACCAGATGGCGTCACTGTCCGTCAGACCGCTGGACTCCTCAAGGGAACCCGAGCCCAAACGGTCACACCCCACCCCAGCCCCGCTAAGACTGCCAGGGTCACTGCCCCGCACGGCCACGCCCCTCCCTACGCGCGCCCCCTCCCCACGCGCGGCCACGCCCTCCACACGCGCGGCCACGCCCTCCACACGCACGCCCCCGACGCGCCGCGAGACCACACCCTCCCCACGCGCGGCCACGCCCTCCCCACGCGCGGCCACGCCCTCCCCACACGCGCCCCCGACCCGCCGCGAGGCCACGCCCCTCCCCACGTGTCCCAGAGCCCGGCGAGGCCACTCCCGGGTCCCCGCAAGCCGCTGACCCCTGAGCGACCAGGCCCAGCCCCTCCCTTCACGGCTTCATCGTGCCTCCTGCGCTTCCTGGCCTTGGAGTGGAGGACAGACCCCCGCGTGCCGGAGCGGGCCCCACACCAGACAGTACCTCGGAGGGTTGACGCGACGGTCTGGAGAGAAGGGAGAAGCTCCGGGCCTCAAATACCGGCGGAGCCAGAGGGCGGGCGGAGTCCCGGGAAGCGAGCCAGCGCACCGCCCATCCCCAGATCTCGGGGCGGCGGTGCATCAGCAGCCCGGGGGCTCGCCGGAGGGCGGTGAAGGGAGGTGACCTGGTGTGCGCCAGCTACTCCACTGCACTTTGACCGCCACCCTGGAGCCGGCCTATCTGTGTGCCGCACCCCGCGTACTTTCTAGTCTAGTTGCATTTACCTTGCCCACTGGGCCACCAGGGAGGTGAATCAAACGAAAACCTCCGGAGGTTTCCAGTCGGAGGGCGGCAGTGCGCGGCCACACCAGCGCTTTATTGTGTGGTAGAGACTGTGACATGTTTTCAGTGACCAGAAAGGTGCCAGTTCCCGGTACGTGGGCATAAGTTGTACAGTGCGGGACAGAAATTTTAAATAAACAAAGCCTACGCGGTCATCTTGTGTGTTCAAAGTCTCCAGTAGTCATAGCCTGTGTGAATTAAACTCCAGGTAACTAACAAATGACACAAATGGCGTAGGATGCCCATGTTTGCCGCCCTGGAGCAGTCGTGGAGAACGGAAAAGGTTGTGGAGGGGAAACGCTAGCCACGTTTTAAAAAAATGAGTTTAATTTTGGAAACCTCAGATTGTTTTTGTGTTTCCTCCATCCTTCCCCTAGGCCAGGGTTTCTCAACATGGACACTATTATCACCTGAGCTGGATAATTCTTTGTTGTCCTGTGGCACTACATGTCTATAGCATCCCTCTCCCAGTTGTGACTGTTTACATTTTATTTTTGGAGTAGCGAAACAAAGTAATGCCCAGAGATCTCTCCTGCTACCCCTATCCTCTCCAGTCCTTTTCAACCCAGTTTTGTTTTGTTTTTTAGCTGGCTTGTCTTTCCAGCTGAACTTTTTGCAAACATGTATGTGTGTCTGTGTGTGCACGCTTATCAAAAGGGTGTCATTCTATTACCTATGCATTTGTTGTCTATCGATAGTTCTGCAACTTGCTTTTTTCACTTGACAATAAATTTTGTTACACAGAGAGCATCATTCCTTTTCATAGCTGATCGCATTTCATTGTGCACCATTGATGGCCATTTGGGTTGTTTCCATTTGGGTCATTACAAATAATGCCACAAATAACCTAGTGCTGTGCTTCTCAAACTTTAAGGCACATGGAAATGATCTGGGGTATTGTTAAAATGCAGATTCTGATTCAGTAGGTCCTGAGACTCAGCATTTCTAATAAGCACCCAGGTAGCTGAGGCTGCTGATCCATAGACCACACTTTCAGTAGCAAGATATCAGTGTAAATTCTGCTTTGTATTGATGGAGAAATATCCACCAATCCAGATTCCTAAATTCCTAGAAATGGGATGGTTAGGTCAAAAGACAAATACACGTATATTTTTGTTAGTTATTATCAAATTCCTCTCTATAGGGATGATAACATTTTGTCCTCTCCGCAGCTATATCTGACTGCTTCTTCACAGCCTTACTCACAGTGATACCTGGACATCTTTGGATTTTTACCAATCTAATAGGGGAGAGGTGTTTTATCTCCTATGGTTTTAATTACCATATCCTGTATTATGAGTGAGGTTGAACATCTTTTCACATATTTAAAAGAATTGCTTCGTCTTTGTCTTATTTCCCCCCGGAACCATTCATGACTTTTGTTCATTTTTTTAAATTGTTTGGTCTTTTTCTTCTTAGTTCTTAAGTGCTCTTTATATAGTAGCATTAGTCCTTCATGATAGAAGTCACAAATATTTTCTCCCAGCTTCTCATCTGTTTTCTGACATTGTATTTGGTGGTTTTGGCATATTTTTTGTTTTTAATGTAGTCAAATTTAATGATTTTTCCTTTACTGCTTCTAGATTTTTTACTCCTAGTTAGAAACTCATTTTCCAGATTATAGAGTTCACCAGTGTTTTCTTCCAGTACTTGTACAGGTTCATTTGAGTCCCAGCTGATGGCTAGAGGAAGAGAGGACAGTAAAGAGTGGAAGGCAAGAATATCCCACACCATTTGCCAAAGGCCAGTTGCTCAGTAGTATTCAGTGCTTCATTGGTGTCTAAAGTTTAGAAAATTCACTTCAAATACAGCAATGATGTCAACAAATAGATCTGACTCCAGAGAATGTCTTTTTCATTCCAATCCCAGTTTAATTGGTCTCTGTTGTTAACCCTGCCTGAAAACACTCTCAGCAACTGTGTGGCCTTTCATCTCCCAGGACTTCCCTGGATGGGGGACTGGGACTGTGGTACTCCATGTAAACTAAAAGTAAACAGAACCTTTTAGATGTTTATAAAGCAGTCTGAATTTACAATCAATAAATTGGAAATAAAGATTGACCAAGAATCTTGATTATGATACTAAACACAGCTCATTTTACTTATGAATTTGGGATTGTCACAGGTAAATATTTTGTTTGGCTGTGTTTTATTTTTGAAAATAATTCCCCTTTTAAATGTTGGAAATAATAGATTGACAAAAACCCATTCAAAAAGCATGTGGCAACCTGTATTCAGCTCATTGAACACAAGTTGGTTTTGACATTAGTATACAGCACAGTAACTCACCCGTGACCAGAACAGTAACTAAAACATCACCCTGAATAAATGCATTCTATTCTGCTGATATTTCAACCCTAAAACAAAGGGAGAAGAAAGGATACTCCTCTTTTAACTGGGAACATTTCACCGTGACATTTATGTTATGTAATTCTATTGTTCTTTATGTGTATTCTCAGTGTTGTGTGGACTAACTAACTGAACTAATTTCCATAAAACTGGAAGAGCATTTCTACCTTGATCTAAGCAGTAGACATGGACTTATATTGATTTAGCTATACCTTTTAAAAATCAGATCACAGAAAATGAGCCAAGTGTCTAAATAGTCCCCTGGAGGCTTAAGTGTTTTAAAATTAATAAATAAAATTTAAAAAAGAACCCTAATGGATTGAACCATCCCTGATGAGGTCAATTGCTTGGCAAACTCAATTTAATTAAGTGGATATTTACCACACATCTGCAGTGCAAAACTCTGAGACTGGCCCAGAACTAGAACCTCTGCCCTCCCATTAAAGGCCATAAAATAAGTTCCCAGGGAATTATCTAACATCTATTTGGTTTTCCTTACAGACAGTAAGCATTGCAATGTTTCCTATGAACAACATAAAAGTTATTCAAATGACATGGCAATCCTGTTAGCAAAATTATAATAATAGTTCTTCATATCTAATGTTCTTTCAAAGAAATTATAGCAGCCTCTCCCAGAGATTCACTTGACAAACATGTTGGGTTCGTGGATCACTTCTGAAAGACCAGGTAGGTAAGACGCTGAAATTGGGGTGCTAGAGCGGCTCTGTCAGTTAAGCATCTGACTCTTGATTTCAGCTCAGGTCATGATCTCACGGTTAATGAGATTGAGCCCCGAGTCAGGCTCTGCACTGACAGTGCCAGCCTGCTTGGGATTCTCTCTCCTTCTCTTTCTGCCCCACCCCCCCAAAAAACAAATAAACTTAAAATAAAATAAGACATTTAAAACTACAAGACAACCTCACACCTGTCAGAATGGCTAAAATCAACAACAGCACAAGAAACAACACGTATTGAAAAGGATGTGGAGAAAAAGGAACCTTCACGCACTGTTGGTGGTTATGCAAACTGGTGCAGCCGCTCTGGAAAACAGTATGTTTGAATAGTATCCTCAAAAAGTTAAGAATATAACTACCCTATGATCTGGTAATTGCATTACTGGGTACTTTTCCAAAGAATACAAAAACACTAATTCAGAGGGATACATGCACCCCTATGTTTACAGCAGCATTATTTACAATAGCCAAGATATGGAAGCAGCCCAAGTGTCCATCGATTGATGAATGGATAAAGAAGGTGTGGTATATATATATATAGTGAAATATTATTCAGCCATAAAAAAAGAATGAAATCTTGCCATTTGCAATGACAAGAGTATAATACTAAGCTAGAGTATAATACTAAGCAAAATAAGTCAGAGAAAGACAAATACCATATGATTTCACTCACTTGTGGAATTTAGGAAACGAAACAAGCAAATAAAAACAAAAAAGACAAACCAAGAAACAGACTCTTAACTGTAGGGAACAACTTGATAGTTACCAGGGGGGAGGAGGTGGGGGTTGGGTGGGGATGGATGAAATAGGTGATAGGGATTAAGGAGTGCACTTGTGATGGGCACTGAATGTGTATACAATTGTTGAATCACTATATTGTAGACCTGAAACTAATATAGCACTGTATATTAATTACTGGAGTTAAAATAAAAACTTAA